TATGGGTGAAAAAGGGTTGGACTGGTTGCCAATACATCGGACCTACAATTTGACGAGCCAGGCCTAGGTACCATGAGTCGTATCAGTGATTAGGATACCTAAAAATTTTACTGTGTTCCTGGATGTAGGGGTGGTAGAGTTTGGGGCTGGTTTGTGCATTATGAGGCATGGCAATGTAAAGTTCATATATTAGCCGGTTACTCAACATACCACTACGTGTCTTGTTGTTTTTTCTATGGCCAAGTTATATCATGGGGTAGCTGCTTTGTTTGCTGGACTTTGTGGTTTTTGAAACCTCAGTATCTAGGAGATGGAGTATTCCAAAAAACATCGCCCATTTACGTGTTTTGACAGGATTTCTCAGCAAGTAGCGCGGGTTTGTTGACACGCTTACTCTCAATAGGCTCATTGAATACAAAGTATTTCTCCCCATCATTGGACGCTGTCCCGGGAAGTTTATTCACTGTGGTGTGATTACTACGTTTAGGTGAACATGTCTTAAGAACACTTACAGAGGTAATTGTCCTCCTAATACCCTTCCGTGAAGCTTCGGTTGCGGGCTTGCTGACATTTAAATCAGTTCTGAGTTCCATTGACGAACACGCAGATTGTACAGCCTGTTAAATGCCACTGCCTATACCAGCACAATCCACTTTCGGTGAATTTAAGCCTGAAGAGGTGACTTAATTATTGCTACGCATTATTCCGTGTTGACGCTCTGTTTTGCCCTGAGCTATGGTTGCAGATTTATAACTGATATTTATGATAATTCAAGATTATAATTTATAACATAGCTGATCTTGCCTGTAAAAATGGCGTACATACCTTGTAAACTTACCCGTTTGTACGAATTATAAATAATTATCAGTAATATTGACTAGGTTTTGACTAAAGATGAAGTTGGTAGTCTGCCATCTGCGTCTGTCGATCTTCCAAAGTTCATCTGACTTTCTGCCCACTTCAGAGTACGCTTCCCCACCCTCAAATTCAAAGCGCAACCACTTCTACGTATGAGTATGTGACCGCACACACGCATATTAGCATATAATGTGAAATGTCACATAACCACTTTGAGGTTGACAGTGGAGCAAATTTTCGGCTTTTTTGATGATTAGAAGCTGGGCTGCATAATAGCTTCTGGGGATGACCGACTTAAGTCTGTGTCAAAATCCTATTATTGACATCCCATTTGCATGGTAATTAAATGAAGACATCTTGCTTAGAGACAGAACGGATCTTAGGTTTCAAAACTGAGCGTCTTCACCAGTTTAAAGTATTTTGGGAATATCCATTTTCAACAATAGCACCTATTACTATTTTATTTTTATCTCGTTTAATACCAGCTGCACGAATTCACCAAATTCCCTTGGCTAAACAGTTCACCAAGCATCTATTACACTGCAGTGGACAGAAGCTGTGAAAGTTTAAGTATTGCCCTGTCCAAGTAGGCTTTCTGTAAATTGATTGCGTTATTAAACCATAGACTCTTTGACTCAGAAATATGTCTCAAAATGCGAACTGGTTAAGACTTACTTTCCCGCAAACAATACGTAAATGGTTCCGTAGGGAGTTGAGTCGGTCCAGTGGACGACTTGCATCCTCATGATAGTCGCATATAGAAAGGACTTTATCTACATACCTCCTGCAGGAAGGCGACTCGGCGATTAGGTCAAGGGACGAGTTTTCAACATAAGGCATGTAAACATCCGCCAACAAGGATCTTAATGAATTTTCCATAACAATGCCTTCCGCATGTCAAAGGCACTCACCTCCAAACGTGAAACAGACGTTGTCAGAACATAATGTAACAACAGAAGACAAGGGCCAGGTAACAGATCGTTTATTAAGGAAAATCAATGTACATTATTGTTAGTAGAAAATATAGTCTTTTGATTGGTTGTTTCTCACAGGAAGTTAACCTTGCATCTTTTTGTGGCTGTGTCAGATCATCCGTATGCTAGCTGTATCCGCCTACGCAAAGCCTTTGTTCTCATTTTCTCACCACCAATATTGGGGACATAAACATTGACGTCAATTACTGCCTACCAACTTTGGCTAGCAGCCAGCTCTCACGATAATAACAGTAATAAATCTCTGAAATAAGCTAAAGCAAATGAAAAGCAAGAAGAAGATATGTACTGTCCAAACCAGTGGTACATTAGTAAATAGGGAATTAACATCAAAAGGTTATATTATTATATCTTTTTATATTCATGTCAAGAAGACAGTCAATAAGTTCAAGTGTATCTTTCAAAGATAACTTACGTCATTCATTGCGTATTGGACTTAGGATGCCAGCTAACCATTTTGCAAATTTATGTCTAGGAGAGTGACACATCGATAGAATTGGAGATAACGGACTGTCAGTCTTATGAATCTTGGGTAGTCCATAAATAGTTGGAAAGTCAGATCCCATGGGTTTTAATGAATTAAAATCTTGTTCCTTATTCAAGAATTAACGACTTTCTCTTGCACTGATAGTATAAGCGTTTGATATGGGAGCTGCTCTAAACCAGGTAGTAGCAAAAAGCATGGAACCAATAGCATTCTTCTGGAAACGGCCTAGTCCTACAGAAACCAAGTATTCTAGCTTTGGTAGGAAGTTGATACCAGTCCACCCAGTAGCTAAACACTTCCACAACATGGTAGAGTCCAGACCATTCACGACTTACACAGATCACACTTAAGTGCTCAAAGTGAAAACAAACAAATATTCACCATGTGAAATTCGTAAATCTGATTTTATATCACAGTCTACTGGTGACATAAGACACATGCAGGAGACGGAGAAATGTTCGGCTAATATATTACCCAGAATGCACGTGTATACGATGCAGCAAATCACAGTAAACTTCAAAGCACTGGCGGAAAATCAAGTGAACGACAAAGAGCCAAAGCAAGTCCTCATCGCAAGCACCTCCAGACTCAAATTTAGACAACCACTGTCTCTTTTAGACAGTAACTTCATATACCGCAACACAACAACAACAGAGGCTTCAGCTATAATAATATTCGCGAGATACATTTGACCAAATTTACAACGTGATATGCTGAAGTGAAAGAAAGAATGCACGTCATGCCAGCGGGCCGAAATAAGCAGACACACAATATCACCCTTAGAAACACTGTAGCGGTCAGATACTCGTTTTTCCCATGCTCACAGTGACTTGGTGGGTCCCCTTCCGTATTCAGTAGGATTCATTTATTTATTTGCATGTGTCAATATGTTCATCAGGCTGGCGACTGCTGCATTACTTCTTAATAATAAGAGGAGACGGCAGCGAAAGCCTTTCTCTGACACCAGGTAGACATGTTCGGGGTACACACAACAGTAACGACTGACAGAGAAGCGCAATTCGCGTCGGAACCTTTCGAAACCCAACCAAGTTTTTCCTGCTCTCCTCACTTGGTTCTCGACTGGCGGTTAATAAAAACTAGTCTTTTTCAGTATTACAAGTCGTCGGTCGGTAGTCTGAGTGATTATACTGGTTGGAAAGTCAGTTTATAAAATTTTGACAATTATTCGTCAAGAAAAATTTGGAGGCGTCAGGCGGGTTCAATGAAGGAACCTTAGTGAGAGAACACTGGAAATCTAAGACAGCGATGTGGAGGTAATCACGTGTAGCGTATGAGGCGGTGCAGAAGATAACAACTGAATGAGAGACTGAAAATAATTTACAAGGCACTAAACAAAGGACTATTGAGGAGTGCTAGGAAGGACAAAATATAGTTTGACGTTCCATGCAGAACAGCCTGTATGTAGAAGAGGTTCAAAACACTATATCGAACAGTCAAGTCACTATCCCGAGAGATATAAACTCAGACGAAGACGGTGAAAGAAAATGAAGTAAGACCAGGTACCAAATAAGAGAAACAAAGGAAACTTCAAAAACGGAAATCCTGGAGGCTATAAAGTTACTCAAAGTCGGGAAAGCAGTAAAGCCAGATGAAATACCCAGGATCATTGAAAATATTGAACTAACATTGTAGTACTACTAGCCGACAGAGATTGAACTACAGTACTAATGGATAAAGCGGGGCATAGCTTGAGGGTCTCAAGATAGCTAACAAACGGTCATGTATACCAGTAGTTTATGGCAAATCGTATCCAAAATTCAGACAACCACATCAAGAAAACATTTAACAAGTTTTTAAAAATTGATCAAACCGAAAATGAAGATCAGTAGCTAGTGAAATCTTATAGATCCGTTCTACCCCTGTTGCATTTTAGACCTTTGTTTTACAAACTAAACATGCCCCTACTACCAATCACCTCAACATCAGGAATTCCAACACGCGAGTTATTCAAAGAACCGTGCTGAAGACTAAAATATTCAGCAGAACCCGGTGGTCGCTCCATCAAAACGCGAAGTCAACTTCTGCAAAACTCGAAGATATTCGGTATGACGATCTTGAAATTATGGTACCCATCGACGCCCCAGTATAAAACACTTCAACTGCCTCAAGTAAATAGCTCTTCATTGGCGACACAATGCGTAGCTCATCATCTTTATACGAAGTTTAATTAAATTCTGTTGCAAATTATTGTGTGATAGGGCTTCACAAGCTCTCATTACATTATTCTACTGATCAGTAGTTAGCATAGACCCTCTGGATTAAAAGGTTTAAAGTGATTAACAACTTCAAATGATTGTTTATTATCAATAGTTGTTCACTGCAAATAAGGGGGTAAGTAGCCTGTCGCTACAAGGTGAACTAATGTAATTAATGCACAGTACTTTTAAAAACCACTGAATGAAATATTTTCAGCTTCACCAGTAGTTACACACCAAGCGAACTTCACTCTTGTCATGGTCATATGAGGTAACTTCAATAGATGCGTAAATCACCAAGTGAGACAACCAAATATCTTTCAATACATAGAATAAGTGTATATGTGGTATGGTTCACAGTAACTACATCAAAATATTGAAATTACACACTACACACATAATAATGCAGTTGAACTACACTTGTAGTTATAGAATATCTCTGGTTGTTTTAATTTCTCAATTTAAGGTGACAGTTCAAGTAATAATTCGGGAGACAGTTCAAAACTTTCGGAATTTTCCTAAAGTTAGGGGATACGTGTAGCCTGTCCAATATGACTCTTGTTTAATTCATTTCTGTTTTTAAAAGTTATACTTTTATATCATGATGGACGTTACTACGTAGATATGGTGGAACAACATAATCGAGTGATTGCTTGCGTACCTAGAAAATACACTTTGGAGAATTTATCATACTGTCCAACTAAAATTATTTTTTGGTATGACGCAATATTTTTGCGTGAATATGTTTATTATTTACAAGGGTTATGAATTCTCGAATCTCCAATGTTTGTCGTCAATTATGTCGACATAATATGTTATGTATACTGAAGAATTAATGGCCTAAGTCTTCCAAATGGGTGAATTTCTGCACAAAATATTACTTCTCGTCATCTTATTGTACAATACTTTAAGATTATAATTCCATTTAGAGCTTCTTCAAGAAATTAAAGATAGATTCTTCGTATGTTCAGTTCTATGAAAGACAATCAATGTGGATATTAAGATAAAAGCCAACGCGACGGGAAATAACAATTTAATTGGAATTCTAACTACTCAGTTTATATATAGTATATGCACTTACAAGTCAAGCATATCTTAGAATGCATACTGGTATCACTAAATAATATAAATAAATAGAGGATAAATCAAACTCAATAAACTTAATTGTTGTTTTCCGTCGCGTTGGTTTTTATCTTAATATCCACATTGATTGTCTTTCATAGAACTGAACATACGAAGAATCTATCTTTAATTTCTTGAAGAAGCTCTAAATGGAATTATAATCTTAAAGTATTGTACAATAAGATGACGAGAAGTAATATTTTGTGCAGAAATTCACCCATTTGGAAGACTTAGGCCATTAATTCTTCAGTATACATAACATATCATGTCGACATAATTGGCATAATCTTCTACTGTAGAGATTGTTTTTCGTATTTATCATTTAATGGTATGGGGATATTAGTCCTATATTAATCTCTTTTCCTCTGAAGCATTTGTAAAATATTAGAAAGGAAAAGAGAGAGTAGGTCATGTCCTATTCCTAAAACATTGAGTATCCGGATTACATCACGTCTCTGCCTGCAGTATGATAAGAAGATATTTAAACTGAAGTCTTTCATCATATAATAAACTGGTCTTTCCCTGAACTGTTTCCAGAATATAAGATTCCGTGTTTGGACAGTGAGTGATTGCCTGGATGCAATTTTCTAGTTTTAACTTCCCCATAGATGTACGTAAAGTGGTGGTGGTAATTCTAGTAAAAGCCTACACTGTGAGACAATTTGCCATAGTTTTTGGGTCGCGACTTGCTATCAAACCTAGGTCTGCGTGCATCTGTACCGAGGGAAGTGATATTCCCTCTACACCGTATGCACTGAGACGAGCGTTGGATGCACATTATTTCGTACTTCACTGAAATGATGTGGGTATCCATTCTTTGAACTAATCTAACATGTTGCTAAAATCTTTTGGAAGCGTGTATTTTCAAAGTTTTAAATTCTTTATTCTAATAAACGATAATTCCATTATTCTCGGAGCCATAAGTATGGTTGCCTTCGCAATACTTACCAGGAGTTTCGTGTCGTTTTTTATACAGTGTTTCTTTGTCTTTATGCAGAGGCATAGGCTCACTTATTGTTACGAAACCCTGAGTTGGTTCAGAATGAGAATACACCAAATTTAAAGTCTTTGTATGTTTGCGTGTTTTACGATTTTCATAAATGCTACCGATTGTCCACGTAATGTGAAAAGCTGTCTGTTAAAGTGGACTGGTGGGGAATAAATGTCTCAAAATCGACAAGCCTCCTATATCTAATTGAAAGGTGCGTTTTTGCTTTCTTTTCTAGTACATGTTACTTTCAATATAACTCACCCTAAAAATATTTACTCTTCCAACACGCCGAGACAGTAACAAATTGGGATTTCTTTCATTTCGACAAAGTGAGTTCATTTTGCTTATTCATAAGTTCTCTTTATTTTAATAATATGCCCTTCAAAGATATAGTATTGACATAACTGCAGTATGATAGAATTGGAGTCTTCCTTAAATAACTGTTTGAAGTGATAAGGGCATATTTCAATATGGGCATTTTGTACTTGACCATCTGAGGTGAATTTAGATATAGCGACTATATAAGTACCTCACTATTAGTAATGTTAGTTCTCTCAATAGAAAATAAAAGCTTTTAGTATGGTTGTGTTTCCAATTTATTACGAGAACCAAGTAAACAAGGAATACAATTAAGATAATTATCTCGAAGCTTGCTGTATAGACCTGTATGATTTGCTGAATGTTAGTAAGTAACAATCGTGCTGGTAGCTTAATTAGTACGGTTGCTAGATCAGTGGCCAAAATATTTATGATCTGTATTTACGAGCTTTATTGTATATCTCAGTATACGTTTCTCACAGAGTTATTGAGAAAATGTAGACAAGTAAGTAAGTTTGCTGAGATGACAAAATACATAACATTTATTAACGCATTAAAAACATACATCCAAAGGGATGGAAGTATTCATGAAGACCTCAGACTTTATGCAATATGTTTTACTCAGCAGGCATTCAGAATGTTCCCAGTGGAACATAGGGCTCCAAACTAGAGGCTTGAAGTTTCGGTAGCAGTGGTGTTTATTTTTACGGGATGTATTTGCTAGCCTCATGTCCAACCTTCCTTTCTTACCAATCTTTGTTACTGGCTTAGCGAGGTAAAGGAGTGCGTAGAACGGGGATAAAATCCCGAACCACCCGCGTGGTTGGCGGGCATTCTACCGCTGTGCCACCGACGCAAAATTATATTGGTGTTACTGTCATAAATATGTGCAAATAATGAACTTCGAAGAGACAAATCATATTCAGAATTAAACCCTGTTGCCAGAAGCATTACACTCTAAGAATATTTCCTCTCAAAAATGAAACAGCCGTAAACTTGTGAGTACAGTTGGTTAACTCGATGACTACGAATTTGTATTGAGCAGATCCAAGTCCAAGATAATTCAGCAACCTAGTATTATTTCGTGTATCAGAGGGACATCCTAAGCAAGACAAACAACATTAAAATAAAGGAATTTTAGTGAACAACTCAAGTTCAAAATGTTGGTTTTACTTTTTCATTCTTTGTGTTTAGAGTGCAACACGGGGATTCAAGCTTTGAAGTTTCAGTAAAAGTCATGTCATTACTTCGGTATAGGGTAACCAGCATTAGACACAATCTCCTCTCTTTTCTGGGATTACTGTTGGATAGTAAACTTATTGAGGTTTAGGAGTAGGTCGGCTGGGAATCGAATATGGTTTCCTGTCATGGTCGTTGAATAGGCGACGCACTTGCTTTACTTTAGGATGAATAATCTATGAAACAATCTATTACATTCTTTATTCATGTATACTGATTTAATGTCCAGACGGATGTACAGCATCTTATCGCACAAACATGTTTCTATACAAGGTGCATGACGCAAACGGGGAGCAATAAATAACTGGCCACACAGAGTCACTAAAGCTGTTCATATGTACATAGATGCCAGCTCATTTTTACAATAGTTATATTAAAATTAAGCTGTCTTCTTAATAATGCTATGTTGCATTCAAAAGGCCTAAAGCTTCAAGGGTATTGATATTTTTGTGTATAATGGGATAATTCTTATGCCGTAATATGGTATTACAATTTAGTACATCGCCTAAGATAATAAACGTACGTCTAGATGTCCTAAATTGAAATCAGATTAGTTATTCGCTTAAAAGAAGAAATGGTCTTTAAGCGATTGCATCTAATACGATAATAAAAGAAATAGACTTAAAAACATGCGTTCGGATACTGCTTAAGCAAATATGATAAGGTAGCTACTACGTGTGTCTTAAATAAATCCTGTAACCTCTACATATACATACATATCATTTTGTTTTCCCGCACGACTAGAATCTGAATGTAAATATTATTTTTGCTTGCTTATTGGTAACACATTCTTAAAGAATTAGAAGTTGTATCTATTAAAAATATATAATATTGCTTAGATTAGTTTACTTCTAATGTAGACTTCGTCACAAACCAATGATACTCAGATTCACAGAAAACCAGGGAGCATTGGAAATTTGTTTCATCCTAATGGCGTTGTGGGTACGCAGTTCCGAAGAGTCTCCAGTGTAGATAATAATAATAATTTGCTTTATTCCAGAAACAGTACTAGTGGTACAGTGTGGAATTTTCAGCACATATCTACAATATTTGCATCTAATTTTACCGACGTTTAAAATAAGTATTAAACAAAAAAAAAAGTAAATCTGAAGACACCAACAGCAAAAAAAAAAAAAACCAAAAAAAAGAAAAAACAGGATAAACACAAAATAATTATGAATGCGAAAAAGTACCAAAGTCTACCAAGGTCTAATGCAGTGTTTGTGGTGGTATTGTGATGATGATGATAAAACTGTTCAAGGATACTTGGTTTCCAATGATTCTCTGACTGAAGTTGCTTTGTGAAGAAATCTCGGCACATATGTGCGGCAGTTCAAGTCGCCACACTCCATGTAGCACACAAAGCAAGGGAAGAAAGTAGAAGAAATGCATAATATAGACAGTAAACAGAGGTATGAGACAAAGGAATGGTAATAACGGAGAACAAAACAGTTTAGTTGGAAATCATAAGTCACAAGGAGTGGATGCATCTGTGCCATCCATTGAGAACGATTTTGAGCCATGTCACCAATTGTTTCCAACCATTGGTTTTTACCGTCCCGAGGACTCCAACCAGGAAATCTACACCTTCCTACGTGGCTTAGACTAACTGTTGTGGATTTCATTGACTGATGCCATGTTTTCGTTTGACCGCCGCTAGCTCTTTTCCAGCCTGGCCCTATATCAGCTAACATTGCCCGTTGAGGAAGGCGATGACTAGGCATACGTAACACATGTCCTAACCATCTCAGTCGATGTAATTTCACAGTCTCGTCGACTGATTTCCCCGCCTTACCTAGCACTCGACGCATAACCTCAATATTGCTCACCTTATTATACCACTTCACGCGGGAGATAGAACGCAGACACCTATGATGACAGACAGCTAGCTAATCTTTTCATGTCTTCTGCTCTCAATGGCCAGGTCTCACAGCCATAAAGGAGGACGGAGCGGACTGTTGAGCAGTACACACGCCCTTTGGTCAATAGTCGGATATCGCGTCTACGCCAGAGACGGCGTAAACTGGCATATGCGAAACTAGTGAAGAAATCTAAGTAGAAGGGAAATATGTTGTATTTTACACAACCTATCTTTAGCACTACGGCTAATAATTAAGTTCTTTTCTGTCTTTCAAGTTGTCTCCCTTATTTTTGAAACATAGCTGTGTATTAATGTTCGAAATCAGATATTCTAATCTAATTTCGCCTATCTTTAAACCATCTAGGCTTTCAAGGCAACCTAACTTCATTCAGTGTTAACTGTTAAACAATTTACCTTTGGCTGAAGATAAATATTCACAATTATCTCATAAGTCTTAAATTTTTTTTACAGGAAATTATTCTTTTGTAGTCTTACTTCGTATAGAAACAGATGAGACAAACACCAGAACAGTCGTGCCGATATTTCACTGATATTGTTGGTTATGTCATTAGAATTGTTCAACGCTATGATAAGCTTGTCATTCTTACCTAAATCCATAGGGATTATGACTTGTAAATACAAACGAAAGCAGAAGCAGTTATAAAGAGAAAATTGATAGAAAATTCTATTTGAAATGCGTAACTGTCAAAAATGGAGCAAAATTCTTAAGTAACTTACCACGTGATATTCATATATCCTCCATATTTTATTATTAGTGGAAAAACTCGTTATGCTGGAATGGCTGAGTGGTTAAGGCGGTGGACTGACAACCCTTGGAGTGTGTCTCGGCGTTGTTTCGAAACTTACTCCCAGCATCCTTAGGTGCGTCGGTGGTTCGGTGATAGGAATACTCGCCCCAGATTCGACTCCCGGTCGACACACTCTCATATCCCACCTAGCCTACTCGCCTGTAGTAAGCCAGTTAAAGATTGAAGTCTAGGCGTGGGGGTGGCAACCCTACCCCGTAAAAATTACCATTGCTACTGAAACTTCAAAGCATAAAGCTTGAAACCCCATCTTCTATTTGTACCACAAAGGAGCGAAATGTAAGATATAAATTTAAACAAATAAACTCATTTTTATGACATAAAACTGATGAAAGTGAAACTTCTCCTGCTTATTTGTTTATGTTAATCTCTTCTGAAAATGCGAACATGCCTTCCGGGCTAAATCTATAGCGATGAGTCAAATTGAAAGTGAAGAATACTATCAGCCTTTAAATGACAGAAACTATGGAATGAGGAATATTGGACAATCGCCAAAATTCGAAGCAGTAATCTGCCTCCTACACTTCTAAAATACTTCAGTTTAGGCTTAAGTGACTATTCACTATTACCGAATTTCTTCTAACTTTGCGTGCGATATGACTGAGGGACGCAAGGTTCTTAGATGTGATAGTGCTATCAAGAATTATTGACTGACAAACCACAACGGATAATGATTTCTCTGTAAGCAAATTAAATACTATAGGACAATTGTTAATCAGTCAATCAATCAGACTCTAGCCACTAATTGATTTTTCCCTTAAATTTGTATTCGTATTCATCATATATAGTTTTATCAAGTAATTTGATTTCCATTTTAATATTCCATAAGGTAACTGAATTTCCCCAACCAGAAATACATTTTTTATTAGTATCCTAACGATGAATTAATAAAATGGTGTTAAGCTAGAATTAGAAGTTTGTACACATTTTGGTCTAATCGAGAAGATTTGTAGCTCAGGTGGATGATTTTGGTATAGTTTTGCTTTCATTGCTCTATTAGGTAACTTATTCAGTGCATAATTCAGTTTGAATTAAGCTTTTAGATTTCTCCATGAGTTTATAAGTCGTCTCTCCTGGGGACCTAGAACGTGATTGGTTGTTTTCGAGATTTTTTACATCCTTTAGATTACTTATATTGGTACTGATTGTTCCCTTGGCATGAAGTTTGTCCCTTTATGCATGAGATTTCCTTCTTATCGACTGGTAAATTTTGTCTATTTCATTATGTCTATTAATTGACCATTCACTGGAATACCAGGCTTCTAAAAATTCTCTGTATAATATTTGAGCATTGTCCCAGTCGAATTCGACTGGGACGAGAGATGACTTATAAACTCATGGAGAGATTTAAAAGTTCATTTCAAATTGAAGTATGCGTCTAAGATGTTATCTAGTAGGTCAATAAAAGCTTCGCAAATAAACCATCCAGCTCAGAAAACACAACTACATCAAAAACACTTGGATCCCTTGGCTGGTTTATTCTAAGCAAGGACAAGGATATTTATGGGATTAAAAGATCTCAGTTTATTTCGCCGCCTTTTTGCAGCAGCGTCTGACAGTCTAAACATCATAAATGTTATGAAAATATATAAACACGTAACATACTTTAAGGTTTTATTCAGTTAACAGCTCTTAGTATAATAGTTGGATAAGGGGGCTTGAATACAAGATAGGTAATGTCAAGTTTATTTACCTACCATAATAATTGCCGAGTGTCATTGGGTAGAGTTCATGAACTCTTGCAATAAAAATTGATGGCAGAATAATAAACGTTTTCATTTTGTAATCTGATAATCTTCAGGTATTGGTTTGTAGGGACTTTGTTTGGTTGATTGGAGAATTTTATCATGAGCTGACATTGGTTAGAAAACCATTGGAAAACTAGGGAGTGCTGAACCACTGTTTTGCCCTAGTTCGGAACTCTTCGTCAGTAAGCACTCACTGGGGTTCCAACTCAGGACCTTCTGGTTACAACGCTAGCCCTTAGACCATTAAGCTACTGGAACCCGATCCAATGGCCCATGAATTCTAACTTCTGCCAATTCACGACATAGCTCGACCACTTAGCAATATCTTCTTTGATAATTAACTGTCCTCAATTTCGACCTGCTGTACCCTACTAGTCACGGCTTCAGATAACTATCTGAATAGGGGCCGTGGCTACTGAGTATCAAATCGATTTCCAGGTATTGGTACAGCAGGTTGAAGGCGAGGACGGTTACTCATGGAAGAAGACATTGCTAAGTGGTAGAGTTATGTCGTGAATTGGCAGAAGTTAGAATTCATGGGCCATTGGATCAGGTTCCAGTAGCTTAATGGTTTAAGAGCTTACCTCGTAACCAGAAGGTCCTGGGTTGGAACCCCGGTGGATGCTTACTGACGAAGAGTTCCAAACTGGAATGAAACAGCTGTCCACTACTGCCACGTTTTCCAATGAGCCTCTGACTCATGATGAAATCCTCCAACTAATCTGATTACCCTAAGTGTGTACTGCCGAAGAGTTCTAAACTGAAATGAAACAGCTCACATTTTTTCTCCACAGTTTGTTTTTTGCTGTTGTCGTCAGTTACCTACAAAATCTACGTCGCAATCATTTTGATTCCCCCTGAAAACGTGTCTTCCGCATTGAACCTAATTTGAACACACTTTATTGTAGACGTCCATATAACGCAAAGCAAACGGATAATATTGATCCCTGTCAAATAATGTATCACCGAGCACTTCGGTCCAATCAATCGACGGGAAAATCTAAAATTCAATTAAATAATTAATATGACCCTTCGCACAAGAAGTGGCTCTCATAACCCAAGTGGTCTAGTGGATAACGCCTTGGCGTTTGAAACTATGGGCACTGGGTTCGAGTCTCGGTGGGAACATCACCACTCACTGGAGAATGCAGGTATATCCAGAGACGAGTCCCAAATAGGACGACATGCGCATCCTGGATTCCACTGCTAGTCACCCATCCACAAATTAAATTCTAAATTAAAGGCGTTATATAATCATGCGTTCATGTTGATCATAAAATGCAAGCTATTATGGCATTGAAATATATAGAATTACCAGTGAAACTAAAATTACGATACGTACAAATTTGAATATGTTTGAATAACTATCTATTCCAAGAGTCCACCAAAGAATAAAACAGTGGGAAATGCACAGGTTTCAATGATAACTAGATGACGCTTTATGGAGTCATAATGAATCCTTCATAATTCCGTTTATTACTTCACACTTTCACAGGACAGAAAGTCCAATAGTGTCTTTTTACATTTACCACTGTCATAGGCTTTAACTGAATAGGATGTTTCAGGTATTTATTTCATGAGAATGGTTACGGAACAGAAAATATTCTTTTCGGTAACCTGCTCATTATCAGGTTATGCAGATATGAATACATAATAATAGTGAATGAATTAGTGTTATTAACAACATTAATGTTGTTTAAATATCATTGAATCAATAATAATAATAATATCAGTGGATTACAATTTGATAGCATCAACATAACAATACACTGAATATCAGAAAAACTGGGAAAGAGAATAATACTAATTCATGAATCTATAATCTCCACTGAAGGTTGGCCAGGGCAGTAGCAGGGGCTGGACTTACTTCTTCTGCACACAAAGCACAGGTTGTTTCACTAGAATCGCCATTGCCTCTGCTGTTTGGAGTATGCGGTACCCGGATGTTTTAGGCAATTCATTTGGTACCGATAGATTATGGCCGGTTCGGACTAGGTGGTTTAATATCGAACTGTTGATGGTTCTTGCTACACCTTTATCCAGCCACACTGGTAGATGTTCCCCTTCACAAAAAATCAAGTTGCTAGATCAACGGCCAATATGACTCGCTCCACAGGCGCAGTTGAATTAGTAGATACAATCAGAAGTGGCTAGTCTAGGTAATTCATATTTTAGTCGAGGAATCACCTTCGGTCGTGTAGAAAATATGACTTGTAGTTTGCCAGCATTAAAAGTTCTTTGAATAGATTTTCTTAAATTGTTAGTAATTGTCTCACTACTTGCGTCACTCTTCATTTGCAGTCGTATATATAAAAGCTTCTTATTTACATATGGAGAATAGTCCTTTTCTGCTTTCTTGGTCATGTGTTTCTTGATGAATTTTCCTGGATAGCTATTTTTATCAATTCTAGTGTCATATACAATCCTTAGTTCATCTTTAATTTCCTCTTCTGAGCATATAGCTCTAACGCTGTAGCTGAGGGTCCTAACTAAATTTCTTTTGTATTTCATGGCTGAATAATGCTGTATTTAATATGCTCATATTTAAAAAAAAAACCAATATATTCTAAAAATCAATTTACTAGAATAAGTAAAACTGTTTAATATAAATTAAGATCCATCGTTTATAGAGAGTAAGTAAAGTTTTCTCAGTTCAATACCAGTTTCGGTTTACGTCTTCAATAGTAGACACATTTATGCCTACATTTATTGTAAATTTGATATTCTCATAAACGTGCTTGGTCTCAAAATGCTCTCATGTAACCACGTGTTCATTGCTTCTGCCAGGTAAGTCCTATTAAGCTCCTTCAAGTGGTTAAGATGATCTTTGCAACAGCCAAAGGGTAACTGAAAACGTTTGGACTGGTGGGTATGCAGATCTGCTTACCTACAGGAGTTAGAAAACCTTGATTCCAAATGCATGGTGTACACAGGCTCCAGAATCCGAATGGATCGAATGACATATAGGCCTGTTTTGGTCACCGGGAAGTATAAGAACACTTCTCCACTGACTTTTGAATTAGGTTAAGGGTTCCGAAGTTAGCTACATAAGACAACCACTTACTTCGGTGTCAGCGTTCGGGTAGTATCCCAGTATTCACACAAGCTATGGGATTTTGCGTGGTGCATTCCTTGTAGCGCATGATATATCCAGTTTTGTTATTTTCATTAATAAATAATAGTAATACATTTGTTCACTGTTCACCTAATTAACTAACTAATCAGCGTTACTTACAGTGAATTCAATTCAGTGCTCTGTCTAAACTTTTGATTGAAACGAAACTGAAATCTATTGCAGCATTTGGATCTACGAAATCGCCCAGCATTAAGCAATTTGATAATTCGTTATACTTAGTGATATATCTATTGACAAATTTATATATTTTTAGATATTGCTTAATTTAGGAAACCTTTGTAAACCAGAATGACGGCTGTTTCGCCCTTCTTCGGGACTCTCCCGAGAAACGCGCCCATGACGCTCCTGGCGATATAACACAAGACCTTTAGGTTGCGAGGAGAATTCGTTAACCATTTGGTCACTATGATGGAATCCAATGGCCCAGGAGTTCTAACTTTTGACAATTGCCTCCCCTTCTGGACTCATAGGTGAGTACTTCTGAAGAGTCCGAAAGTAGGACAAAACAGCCATTCAGTGCTCCCTGCTTGTTTTCAGTGGTTCTTTAGCTAAAGTCAGTTGATGATCGAACTTGGAGTCAATTAAACGTAATACTCATTAGTGACTAACTATCAGATTAAATTGCTTAGAGTCCTTGGGGGGGGGTCCATCAAGTGAGTTGTGAGAACAAATACTCTCCAATGACATTAGCTGACAATACTACCAAATATCATTAAATTGGCAGAATTTAGAATTCATGTACTATTGGATAACGTCTTAGTGGTTGAACAGTCAACGAGCTGGTCTCGTAAACTAAAAGTTTTGATTTCGATCCCCTGTAGGGTCATGAATGAGTATTGCGGAAAAGTTCAGAATTAGGATGAAATAGAACTGTCCAGTACTTCCTGGTTCCCAGTGGTTTTCTTACTAATATTACTTCATATTTGATTCACATCAGTTAACTCCAATGTTATTTAAACTTTTGACGGGAAAAAAAGTAAACTATTCTATTTATTGTTTCATTTTAGGATAATTTTCCCCATTACTTAAACGTAAATGAATCAAATACTCTCAGGTATACTAAAATTTACAAAAGTTGGTAAAGATGCCTATTTAAAACAGTTAAAGGGATTCAGTGAAAAAACAAAAGTGAGTTTATTTCTTTTTGCTTTTCTTCACCTACTACTGATTTATTCATTAACTTCTTTATTTAAGTAGTAATCATTCTGTTTCCTTACTCTTTCAGCCATTAGCTGCTATTATCTCATGTGTTGATTCACGTGTTATTCCATCGAAATTTCTATGCTCAAATATTGGTGAAGTATTTATTGAAAGAAATCCAGGGAATTTTATTTGTTGTGAAAATTCAGCTTTAAGTCATTTCAGTGAAGTTTGTGTTACACCAGGATTTTTAGACTTCATATTGTTTCGATGTAAAATCAATGATATAATTATATGCGGTCATTCAGACTGTCGAGTAAGTTAGCCAGATAAACATTTATAATTCTCTCTCTTTTCTTATTATATGTACGAATACTTTTCATTGAGTCACTCAGTTTGAGAATTCAATGATTTCAAGATAAAATCCATTACACGTTGAAATTGTGCGTCGGTGGCACAACGGTAGAATGCCCGCCAACCTCGCAGGTGATTTTGGGGTTCGGTCCCCGGCCGACGTACTCCCAAACCTCGATAAGCCACTAACTAAGACTGGTAAAGAGGGAAGGTCGGGCATGAGGCTAGCAGTTTTAATAAGGAAGGATAACGGGAATTTACAGTGATATCATATGCTGCTTGGCTGATATAGCCTCTCCTTTCAGTCAACTCTTGATAGTTTCTCCATTTCACTGGTTTCCGAGTAGAAAATAGGGCTTCACACTTGAGCTTTAGAATCGCAGTAGCAGAGGCGTTTTCTCTTCACGAGGAGGAGTTGATAACCTGACGCCGAAACGTTCCTCTTTACCGTGTTTACTACCCACTAGGTTAGAGTTTAGAAATGCGTCAGACAAAAGTTGATTCCGGATCACATGAGTAACTGTCAAACAGTTTGCCATTGAAAAAACTGATGCAGCTCTTATTCATTTAATTCTGTGCGATGTTCAAGATGACTTGTTGAGTGAAATAAGTAATGTGATCTTTATATCAAGACATTTAATTTACTTAGTGTGTTGGTATTGGTTAATATCCTGTAATGAACCAAGTCCCTGTTAGCCGACACTTGGTAATTAATCTGATTCTCACTAGCGACTGCCTCTATACATGAAGTTACCTGGGGTTCTAGTGACAAGTTGTAACCAGAAGGGAGTGTCCACGAAGTCAAGCAAGAAGACAGTTACTCGCCTGTGACACTGGCTAAAGATTGCGCTAAATATATACCATGAATTGACAGACGTTGGAGTTCATGGACCACTGGGTTAGGTCCCAGTGACTGAAAGGTTTACAAGCTCTCCTCGTAGCCGAAAGGTCCTGAGTTCGAATCCCGATGGGTGCGTACCGATGAAGAGCCTTAAACTAAAACGAAACAACTGTCCAGTACTCTCAGGTTATCCAATGGCTTTCTAAATGATGTCAGCTCGTGATCAATCATGTAATATCTAAAAACTAATTTATTAAGGTGGTTCAATTTCAAAGCGTGTTACGGATAAACACTAAGAAAAATATACTCCTGACACTTTTTCGAGGTCTTCGACGCTATGAAATGCATATTCGTCTTACTGAAGAGTGCTAGTAAGGTCAAAATCTAGGTTCATGACTTCCTGCCAATTGACTTCAACCAGATGCTTGGGTGAAGCGATAATACAATTCGTATTGGGGTAGCAGAAATCTGAAATTCTTTTTGTATCCAAGTTGTATGCAGCTATGATTCAATAAGTTAGGCGATACACTTTCCTATAGTGCGACAATTTTTCAAATCAGGCGCAAAATATCTAATTTTTGAAGACTCAAGTGATGTAATAACATTTCACAAAGCGTAACTAGCAGTCTAGCATACAATAAATTCTGTTTTTTTTATATTTATACTAAAAAGGAATTTAAAGCGCTTCAAACAAAGAAAAGTAGAATTATTTATTTATTTATTTATTTATTTATTATAGCTTGTTTCCACACCGTATACAAGTATGGAATTTTCAACATTTGGTATCGGTAGTCTAAATTTTGCAGGCCGACCATAGATATTAGGTGTGCGTCGGCAGGGGACCGAACCCCAGGCCATTTAGACGGTCAGCAAGAGTCCTAATCACTGTGCCACCGACGCACACAAAGCAATCCCGCGCCGAAAGTCGAACCCCGGCCGCCTGGGTGAAAGCCAGGAATCCTCAAACAAAAACTTTCATCGTATAACCCTCTCAAGACAGCAGCATTATTTCAGAGTAAGTTCACCGACGAGGCGTAATAATTTAAGTACCGTTAGAAACTGAGGTGCAGCAAGCAGCTATTTCGTCCCTGTTCTTAACTCTTCAGCGACGGGCACCGGCAGAGATTGAACCCAGAATGAACAGATTAAAAGGCATCACTTAGTCCATAGAATGTGGACTGCACCTAAATATGCAAAAAGGAAATAAGTTTCTATATTTTATACATATTAAACACATATACCTATCAAGTGACCTGTTAAGGTAAAGACGAAGGTCATGTGACCAAAGTACTAGTATAATTAAATGACAAAAACCGTAGTTCAAGTGCATTAAGGAATCAATAAGCCTTAAAATAAATGCATAACGAAAATCTGTAATATTTTTATTGTTGCATTTTCATGTATCATGTTTTTGTTCCGTACTGATTTTCGTTATTATTATTATTATTATTATTATTATTATTATTATTATTAATCATTACGATACCGTCATCTGAACGCTAAAATCCAATATACTGATCCTATGTGATAATTTTGTTAATTGGAATAGGAGGACTTTGTGTATTGTTTCATATTTCCTTTTAATAATGTTTCGTTAGTCTTAACCAACCTACTTGAATTTACCACCAAAATTTTATTCAATCATCCATTGATATACTTTTAAATTTTACAAACAAATTGAAAACAATTCTTGGTGAAAGTTGACCAATCATTTTTCATCTAAATATTATATTTAATAATAACAACAAATAGGCAATGTCTGAAATGAGGATATTTCAAAAATAGATGGCCTTTATGTAGGATGAAGCTTCAAATAGCTGATAAATTCGATGTTTTACTACCCCATCCTTATATATATATATATATATATATGATTGAATAAAATACCTTGAATTAACCACTGTCCTAAATTTAGATGAACAGGTTAGAGATCAGTGCCGATTTTCTAATATAATTCCAAGGACTGACCAGTGTTTATTCAAGTTAGTTGAGTGAAAGCTTTTTTCAAGCTTATATAGAATTATATCGCGGAAAGCAACCAGCGTGTAAATATTTTCCATATTATAATTACTTATTCAAGTTTCTAATCCCTTGTTGATATATCTAAGCGAGTTGATCAACTTGACTTCGGTGCATGAACTCGTAGAATGGTTGTCTCGATATTACTAGAATTATTAAATTACTTGTTTGGTGGTTAGTTATTACTATGACTATTTCAGACTCGTCAGATTGATGTGCCTACATTCTTAGTGAGTGATGCTGTCCCATTTGACACTCGAACCCAGTAACCATCGTTTCAAATGTCAGGGCTTTTTCTATCAGGCTGCAAGAATCATCTCATGTGCAACGAGTATTACCTATTATTTGACCAAATTGTTATTTCTGAACTTAAAATTTGTCTCCCAGTAAGCTTTGAAATCTGGAACGATGAGTGCTGGATTCTAGCTCCATATGGAATGGAGCATCAGACAACTGGCGAGTTCCGAATTGGCTGAATCACGTGTCCTAGATTTTCCAGCTAGTTACCATCAAACGAGTGATTTTTGATACTGGTTTGAGTAATAAAAAAGAGGTACTGACTTCTTGGTCGGTGATGGCACGGACAGTCAAAGAATAAAGGCTACAGGATTTCATCATGAGCTGACATTGGTTAGAGAACCATTGGAAAACCTGGGAGTACTGGACAGATGTTACATCAGTAGTAGGCACCCACCGGGTTTCGAACCCAGGATCTTCTGGTTACAAGCCTCGATTAAAGGCATTGATCTAAACTGATCCGGATCAGTTTTCCCTCAACATACTCTTAAACTCTGCCTAGTTCACTAGCCATTAGTAACCCCGGAAATGAGGAAAGATTGAGCGTGAGTGTAGCAATCTCACCCCATTGAAAAAACACCAGTAATTTACCTTGAACCCAAGTCGTGATGGGTCATCTATTTGATAAGGATGTTTCTAGTACATTAAGATATAAATTAAATATTTCAGTCAATGCAAAAGTATATGAGGTCATCAACTTTTATCGATCGACTTATTTAGAATGACTGATTTCAAAGTTACTGCAGTATATTAGTGCTTGTGTGTTGAAATTTATTGCTAATAAGATGAATAACTGTTGACCTTAAAGTTACTTAGTTAGTTAATGAACCAATAAATTTACGGTCAGTCCTTCCCACCCCCTTCCCACATACAATTCCTAATACATTCCATGTCACCTGATTGTATAGTGTATTCATTTTACCAATCATACAATCAGACGCATAAGGCTGCTTTAAATATCACACAGTGATGTAGATTTACCACTGGATGACATTTCGAGTATAAATTATCGCTCATGATCATATCAATTTTAGTCACACGGTTTTACAAGTTGTCTAATACACATTTTCTCTCTTTGTCTCTCTTCAACTTCCTTTTGCTGTTTGTTACCACTTTCCATATCACCGGTATAGACGTCGCGTCATTCAGAATGCACGTGTGTGGTGTTGAATTGATAACGGAGCTTCAGTAATTAACCTCTCTCTCCATCTAACTGTATTACTTTTTAATACTCTCAACCTGTCTCACCCACTCTATTTTGTGATTACATGCAGGTGAATGCAGTGCAATGGCTGAGCAGAGTCAATTATTCTAGGTTCAGCTAAATTTCTATGTTCCAGTGATCTAGTTGATTCCGATCTACTACTTTTGCGGTGAGAGCTGTTTGCAATCCACAATTGTAGATAAAAATTTACGTCAATGTTTACGTCCCGAATCGGGGTCATGAGAAAAAACAATAATAAAGCTTAACCTTGAGGATCTCACCAACCAATCACAGCAGACTTTGCGTGGGCGGATACGATTCGCAAAAATATATGGCTTAACTTTCTAAGAAACGGCCACAAAGAGATAACAGAATAACCTTCAGCAAGAAATCAACCAATCAGAAGACGTTGCTTCCCGCTAACAATAACGCTAATAATAATGCACATAAAAATCTATAAATACCTTTTGATTTTCTCAATAGACGATCTGTTGCCTGGCTCTTGTCTTCTATCGTTACACCTTGACCTATGTAACTGACTTCATCAACAGTCATCACATGGTATTTGGTAAATTATATTATTTTTCTTAGTTGAATCTGT